ACTCTCGTCGTGTGTGTGTGTGTGTGTGTGTGTGTGTGTGTGTGTGTGTGTGTGTGTGTGTGTGTGTGTGTGCGCGTGCATGCGCGCCCTTGTGGGTGTGTGCGTGCATGCGCGCCAGTGTGTGTGCGTGCGTTTCCACATTCTCTCTGGTACAGGACAAGCAGCTAAATTAATAAAAGCTGTCATCCATTTTTGTGTGAGCCGGCAGTCGTCATCTAGCTTAGACGCCGAGGTTTGAAGCATAGATTGCATTCTCCTCAACTGGACGTACACGTGTATAACGTGACAAGACGAAAATAACAAGACATCGAGTTTTGCATAGATTTATGAGATGGTAATGCGCCATGTGTTAATTTTCTGAAATTATATTACCGTTATATATATATATATAATCGTTTACGTATATGCATGTACAGTGTAGCCATGAGCGTTGTTAACGACTTATATTGCTCTGATTATTACTTTTACAACACCGAATGATGTCTTCTCAATTTCCCCTGTTAAACGCTGTAAGCATAATGACCATATTGCTGAATCCGCGGGGAATTGGCCATGGCCGTTCACGCCATACACGACCAAATTATTGTATCTACAGGGAATTACACGTAGCTATTTCCGTCACATACACGCGTGTAATGGCGTTCGAATAGGAATTTTACACATGTTCTAACTACACGTCGGAGAGCCGAGAAAACTCGCCGACCTACACTCTATTACTATACCTAAAGCTGACGGATACCTCGTATATCGAATGAAGGGAAGTAGATGTAAAGAAAGGAGAAGGGAGTAAACCAACATTCGAGAAGAGAGAGCGATAGAGAGAGAGAGAGAGAGAGAGAGAGAGAGAGAGAGAGAGAGAGAGAGAGAGAGAGAGATAGAGCGAGAGGTACAGATAGCGAGAGAGTACTAGAGCGAAAGCGAGAGAAAGGGAATACGGGGGAAGGACGAATAAGATTATATACATCAAACGTAAATAGCATATAGACGAAACCGCAGTGGAAAATACAACACATATTTGCATATATCACGACATTTTATTACGCACCGTAGCAAATGTACTTACAATATATTACAGAAATGATATTTACACAATCTGTGCGAGAGAAAATATCGTTTGTATTTATATATATATATATAATTATTTTTGTATATCATACTTATTTACAGCACGCATTGAGTTGTACATTATTTTTCTAACAGTACAACAGGCGTTAAAATTTGATATCAAACCACATATTTATTATTGTGAATCGGAACCAGGGGTATCACAGAATGCTTCTCAGTACAAAGGAGACTGAAGACCGATTACATGGTTTAATTCTACGTGTTCTTGTACTCAACTACAAGTTTTAATACTCTTTACGATACTACGATAACTCGCCTAACGAAATAATCATTAATTTACAACAACGAAATAACAACAATAGGAGCTACAGTCCATCTCTCGCGTTTCAAGCGGCAACACACCGTATAACGATTCATCCGCAAGTCAAAAACGTTCGCGCGGAATGCATCGTGGACCGATCATTGTGGAAGCAATGGCTACATGAATCGATTCGTTCAGTCTTACATGAGCAAGCACCTATGTAACGTAAAGCCATGTAATCGCATGGCGCCGTTCATTTTGATTTTGGAAGCGCATAAAATACGTGAATGACCGCATCACGCCACCCCTCCGCCATTAGTTGGACAGCGGACCTACTTTCTCCGGCGTCAGTGGCGGAGTGAGGGGTGATACGGGCAGTGGAAACGTTACCGGAAAGGCGCTGTAGTACATCGGCCAGGCGCCGGAGCCGATCGTCTGCGTGTGGTGCGGCATGGGATACGCCGTCGGTCGCCGCGCGGGGTGAGTGGAAGACATCGCCGTCTCGGCGAGCGACCAAATCTTCGGTTTCACGGCGGCGGCTTGCACGACCGGCTTAACATCCGCGCGCGGAGTTTTTGCGATAGTTTCCGCGTCTTTCGATGTACCGAGAATGTCGATGTCAGGCTCGTGCGAATTATCGCCATCGTTGGCGTCGTCGAAAAATACGTCGGATGTGACGTCACCTATGAATGAAGTTGATAAATTTAGATACGTAGGTCTAATGCTCAGTTGCGAATGTTGCAATACATGATGATATATTAATAATTAGTTGTTTTCTGGGTTTAGACAAGTTATTGTTACATATTAAAATAATGTTACAATTAGTATATATCTATGTTTATATATATATATATATATTTATTTATTTACTCGTTTATTTATTTATTAAACTAGTTGTTTAAAAGTTATAATTATACGCTACTCTTGAACTTGAAAATGCCAATAATGCAACGCTCTACTGTAAACAGAGACACTTACCAGCAGCCGACTGCTCGTCGGAACCTTTGTGCATCTCCTCGTCATCGTCATCGTCATCGTCATCGTCGTCGTCGTCATCCTTGCTCGTAATGCTTCCGGCTAGCCTGTTCTCCTTCTTCAGCCTGCGTCGCGCGTTCGCGAACCACGTCGACACTTGCGTCAACGTCATCCTCGAGATGACGGCCAGCATGATCTTCTCTCCTTTCGTCGGGTACGGATTCTTGATGTGTTCCTTGAGCCAGGCCTTCAGCGCGCTAGTGGCCTCGCGCGTCGCGTTCTTCCTTCGTATGCCGTTACTGCGTGGTGACAGAAGGGAAATATGACCAGCCTGTCGCGCCACGAATTCACTCGCGGTATCGCAGCATGCGCGGGGCGCGTTCCATTTACAGTGTGTGAAATACAGCGACGATTCGCAGAAGACGAGTGATTTTTCGTTATCGACTAAATTTACATCAGCGTAACGGGTAAATAGAAACTACCTTGTATCGTTTGTAAGAGCTGTAAGCTAACAATGAATGACGAAAAGGGTTCAACGAGAGAATTAAAATACGTTTCAGCGATGAAATTACGCTAAACGTTAGTTAATGTGGGGAATGAGGAACTAGCGGAGATGAGAGAAGTACGACGGTACAAAGACGTGTCGAGACAACGGTCGCCGCTGCCGTCGCTGTCGCCGCTGTCAGCTATTTATTATCAGCGCCGAATCTATGCGACACGTACCTGTCGTAGTAGCCGTTGATTTCGTACGGATGGCTGCTGAGCTGGTGGTGACCTTGACTCAGCCTCAACGCCGTGCCATCGCTCTCTTTCATATCGTACGAATTCTATACAACAAACGAAAAAACCACGAGCTGTTAATAAGTAACACAAACGAAAGGAAACGAAGAGAAAGAAAACGGCAACGTATATATATGCGGCGTGTGTATGCGTGCATGCCTGTATACATATATATATATATATACATTTATACGAGCAAGTGCATTTTCTTCCTCATGCTCGACGCGATCATGTGCTTTCACTTCAGGGACACAAATGGAAGTAGTGCATATTTCTTCGCGCCGAGAAGGGCGTTATAAATTGTCGGTTATGGCAAACAGATTCCTAGCCTTGCTCCAGTGACAGAGACGAATGGCCGAGGAGCGCAACCAGATATTCAGCGCGACAAACACGCCGCTTATTTGCTGCGGATCGTTTTCGCAGCCTCTCATCTGGTGGCAGTTAATTTCGCATATAAAACAGAGCACGCCGATGTATCACCGACGAGGTGCAGTGCTTGCGTATACGCGCGCACACATCTATCGTTAATCATACACTGTCGACGCACCGTGTTATATCCTATACAGAGCTACAGAGGCCAAGATGACGACAGATGACAGTAATGACAAAATTATAAATAGCGCCATTACTCATGACATCTGTTGTGAGTAATCGGAACGCGTTGCTTTCAATAAATATGTAATATAATTAATTATACATGTGTACATATGTATATCCACACACACACCCATTATATATATATACATATATATAATTTATATATATATATATATATATATATATATATATATATCAAGGAACATCTGTGCAAATTTTCTGTTTCAACCTAAAATCTCTAATTAAATTTAAGAATAATAATTAAATAAATAAATGATTAAAAACCACCAACGTGGTTGAAGAATTTGTATTGTTTACGCTCATCTGTAAACCGAACAGACAATCTGTCATATCATAGCTCGCCGATGATACATCTCAAAACAGCAACTATATAACAAGCAAACGCATGTGGCGATGATTTTGCTTTTTTGGCGTCGGGGATTATAAGCCATTAGCAGATGTGTTCGTGTCTGGGACCTTAATGCTGCTAACGACGGCGGTGTGAGGCAAGATGGGCGACACTTACAAATGACCGCGCGCGGCAAAATAGATGATCATCGCGTTAAACTGACGCGAGGTGCGGCAATGTCTGCTTATAAATCGTGTGTAATTATCTACGACGAAGTCATAGATACACCGGCCTCGTATATATATATTATATATATATATATATGTGTGTGTGTGTGTCTGTATATATATATATATATA